GGAGTAGCTTTCGAGATTGAACTATCAGTTCCGCCGCCTTTATTGTTGTCGCCTGCTCCTCAAACAAGGGAAAAATCAACAAAAGACATTTTCATAGTAAACCAGTAAGCCACCATACCGATATCGTCATCGCTTTCAGAATCGAAGAAGGAACGAGCCATCTTTGATACATTCGCTCGTGGCGCAGTGCTTGACGCGGCGCTCGTCACAGTGCTTGGAGCAGCGCTTGGCACAGTGCTTGGCGCAGCTTTTGGCACAGTGCTTGGCGCAGCTTTTGGCACAGTGCTTGGCGCAGCTTTTGGCACAGTGCTTGGAAGCAGCGCTGGAACAGTGCTTGAAGCAGCACTTGGCACAGAGCTCGAAGCAACGCTAGGCACAGTGCTTGGAGCAGCGCTTCGCATAGTACTGAAATTATCAATAGAGCCAAAGAAACTAATAAAATAAGGCGGAAATTCTGCACAGCTGCAGAAATAGCATCACAACCTTACATGAAGGCATACAAGAGGAGTAAACTTATTTGAAAAAAGAACATACGGAGGTTTTGCTACTTTTTCCTCGGCCTGCTTTGTTGATCTGCTTATCTGACCAGGAATCGTACTGCTGGCCGGACTTTCGTCTTTGCTTTTGGCTGTCACTTCATCAGTTCTTACGAGATTACTGTGTGACGAAGCTTCAACCGTATCCAAAGAGGCATCAGGTGATGGCTTTTCAGAACTGCCGGGTGATGGTTTCTCTATAACATCAGCACCTGCAGCTGCAGTATTGAGCTTCGAGCGAGATGGTGGTCGGCGGGTAGGACCTCGGGGGCGTGTCTGGAATGTATATTTAAGAAGAAAAATAGTACAAATCCTGATAAATAGTAATACCTTCGCAACCGACGGGAGTGGCCAGGACGACGAAACATCCGAATTCTCTTTTTGGTTGCTCTTTATCTCTGGTGCGTCCTTGACAGGTTTAGAAACAGATGCTGAGGGAGCCTAAAAGCAATACATCATTAAGGTACGACAAATTGTGTGCTGAAGAAGGGTAAATAAGCCTATTATGACGAAATTTTGTGCGCCAAAGAAAAAGAAACGTAAGGCTTTTGCGGGCGGAGACCGCTCCAATTCCCCGTCCTTTCCGACGTCTTGTCCCTCCTTCCGCCCACCGATTGGCTACCCCAGCTGCTGGTCCTTCGCCCTAGGACTCGAACCGTTTTAGCAGAAAGGCAGCGTTCACGCTGACGACATCAACACCGATGTGATTCGCCCAAAGCGGAATCCAAAGGGAATAACAAGAGTTTCTCTTCACCACTGCACCCCTTGCAACCTCTAAATTTTGTTGATATCGGAGACAAAGTTATCGTGTCATCCACCTTTAATTCCTCACATTAAAGAGCAGTCACAGTATTACGGCAATAATACATCTGCAATCGGCCGAGCTACTTTGATAATTCCGTTCAAGAGAATAGTGCAGTTGCGAAGGGTAGATTCAGCGAGGAACAATCAACCAAAACCATCAAAAGCCGATAAGGGTAAATTTTGGAAGGAGGCTGTAACGAATATACACAACGGGTTGAGGAGAGTGAGCAGACGAGAGAGCGTTGCAAGGGGCAGACTGCCCGTCAAGTAGACTCTGCGGCTAGAAACAGCGGCAGCCACTCGCCAAATGAAGTCCTATCCAAGCCGTGGTGGTTGACAAACCGCGAAACGAAGAAGCAATTCTGACTTATTGTCTCACTTGTTAATTTTTGCGCTCCAAGCGTATAAAATGAAACAAAGGAGATCAAAATGTGATCAAGGCAATGATATTATCTGATTCACAGTAACTTACAGTCCGCCAGCAACAACAATCCATAACAAGCGAAAAGTACAAGGGTTTCAAACCAGAATTTCCGCGAAGCAATGAAACCTTGGACAAAATATTCGGATGTTTTTCTGTCTGTTGCGGCGACTTTACACTGACATCATCACAGCACATGCATGATGCAATAACAGCATTCTCAGAGGTGCATTGCGATAATCGGTGCACTTCAGCTCTTATGTTGAGACTAACTAACGCGCTGTAGTAACACAACTTTCCATAAGACAATTATCAAAAGGTCTTAAAAACATGCTCCCATTAATTGGGACAAAAATCTGCGCTTAATTAATTTCGATTTTGTTGATTTCCAGACGGTGACAAATACAACTCGACTGTCAACACCAGCGAAGCGCTGCAGTATCACCAGCTTCCATTCCCTAGCAGACAGTCACATACAAATCCGAATCTTAACCAGAGATATCTCTAACGTTTCAGTGCTAATCACAACTACCATTTCTGTTTTAACTAACAGGCTGGTTAATCATTTTGGGTGCTAACTTAGTTGGGGGGGGGCACGCGGCGGCGCGGCAGTCTGCTCGCCTGGCATGTTCGGAAATCCGTGGGCCAGGGGGAGTGTAGGCAGTCTAGGGGGGGGGGGCAGTCACTTGACATGCGTGAAAAGCTGGAATGTTCGAGTTTACACTGTCTCGCTCGAGAGAGCCCAGGTGAGCAGACTGCCGCGCCGCCGCGTGCCCCCCCCCCCAACTAAGTTAGCACCTTTCTTTTTCCTGGAAACTATGGTTGACAAACCGCGAAACGAAGAAGCAATTCTGACTTATTGTCTCACTTGTTAATTTTTGCGCTCCAAGCGTATAAAATGAAACAAAGGAGATCAAAATGTGATCAAGGCAATGATATTATCTGATTCACAGTAACTTACAGTCCGCCAGCAACAACAATCCATAACAAGCGAAAAGTACAAGGGTTTCAAACCAGAATTTCCGCGAAGCAATGAAACCTTGGACAAAATATTCGGATGTTTTTCTGTCTGTTGCGGCGACTTTACACTGACATCATCACAGCACATGCATGATGCAATAACAGCATTCTCAGAGGTGCATTGCGATAATCGGTGCACTTCAGCTCTTATGTTGAGACTAACTAACGCGCTGTAGTAACACAACTTTCCATAAGACAATTATCAAAAGGTCTTAAAAACATGCTCCCATTAATTGGGACAAAAATCTGCGCTTAATTAATTTCGATTTTGTTGATTTCCAGACGGTGACAAATACAACTCGACTGTCAACACCAGCGAAGCGCTGCAGTATCACCAGCTTCCATTCCCTAGCAGACAGTCACATACAAATCCGAATCTTAACCAGAGATATCTCTAACGTTTCAGTGCTAATCACAACTACCATTTCTGTTTTAACTAACAGGCTGGTTAATCATTTTGGGTGCTAACTTAGTTGGGGGGGGGCACGCGGCGGCGCGGCAGTCTGCTCGCCTGGCATGTTCGGAAATCCGTGGGCCAGGGGGAGTGTAGGCAGTCTAGGGGGGGGGGGCAGTCACTTGACATGCGTGAAAAGCTGGAATGTTCGAGTTTACACTGTCTCGCTCGAGAGAGCCCAGGTGAGCAGACTGCCGCGCCGCCGCGTGCCCCCCCCCCCAACTAAGTTAGCACCTCTTTTTGGAAACTACATTGGCCGCGTAAATACTCGACGTTTTGGTAGGTTAGGAGACTAGTAGACAATGGAAAAGACATTTGCTTACTGGTGGATTGGGAAATTCAGTTAAACAGTTAAGATGAATATTGAATGATCCCACTGGAGGCTCCTAACCCTCCCAAAACGAGGAGTATAAACGAGGCCACGTGACAGGCGTTGACGACCCTGAATTTATTAAGGATTTCAATTTCCGATCAACCCACAATTTAGCAAGCCCATCAACCACGAAAATTAGCCATTCGAGACATTACTGTGAAAAAAGTTTAAATAAAGTTCATCGCAGCGAAAAAGCGTTGCTAAGATCCTGCTGAAGGCGCCTCGAATCATGAATAGTACCTACGCGATCGTACTGAAACCTGAAGCGTTCAGTGACCTTCTAGCTCCTTTTATGAGCTTCAAATTCAAAGTAAAGTGTAATGAGTCTACGTGTGGGAAAAGAATATGCGTAGAGAATTCAAGCTTCACAGATAAAATTCCATCGTGATTACCCACAGAGTGTGCAGTGATTCTTCTCTGATCTAATAAAATCATCAACATTATCCGAGTTTTCCAAAATCCCCCGAGGACTGGAAACGCACGAACACAAAATTTATCGCATGTCAATTGGTGGGAGATTTTGGCCTAAAACGCTCTATATTTGAAAAAGCGCCTATTACAAGTAGTCCAGGAAACCAAGCAGCCGTGAATGAAACTCACTCGCCAAATTTTCGAAAAAAAAAACGTCTGTGGACGCGCAAGGGTTCCCATAACAGCTGCACTTTTATATAGCACCTCACAAAAAAGGAGCACAGAAATAAACCTCATCCTCTATAAACTTCTTGAAATAGTTACTGCTATGCGATTTTTCCTGGTTGTCAATCAATTTTAGTTTTAGACAGAACATCACTTTCTGATACATTCACAAGGTACTGAAATACACCTCCCTGGATTACAACACCCAGTACACCTGTACAGCCATTCCACGTAAAAAACAACTTTCTAAACATGATACTTAAAATTAGATGTAAATTCACATACCATATCGCTTTCAGTGCTTGCACCGAGCAGTGACTTCCGCGGATCGACAAACAAGGCCTCATCGTCACTATCTGAGTCGAAGATACTTGCATACTTTTTCGTTATCTGAAGAAAATAAACCGTAGAACCGTAAAGCATTCGGCGTTGACCAATCCACTTTTGGGATGCGCAACGTATCCTACTTCAGTCAGAATCGTAGAAACAATTTGAGGTTTCAATTGTACAATGACTTGCAAGGGTCAGAGTGGGTCTTTTTCCTCCGAAACAAATCTGGTACCAATTAACCGACCCCGGAGGGATGGAAGGCTTGGTTGGCCCGGGACGACTCACGACCCAGGATTTGATCCTCGGACCGTGGTAAGCGTGCCGTTTGCCACTACGCCGCTTCCGCCTCATCGAATGAAGTGAAGCATTTGAGCTGATGAGAATAAAGACAGCTAAAGAATATATGTCTAACGCTCGATACAGAGGCGAAAAAAAAACAGGTAACTATGGGTATTCGGAATTCTCTCTTATTTTTGATGTTCGGAACAACTTATATCCATCCAGCTTCCTTGTCGCACAAGGAAGTTTAGTCCCAATCTGAGCTTATTATTTCTGCAAAGCTTTGGTTAACGTGACTCGTACATACATTGCACTAAAATGTCCCACTCCCGATGTATGGATACCAGATTCCTTTGAATCGCGCCAATATGCTGCCCTCAGCTACGCTTTCTCGCCTAAACTGTGGTCCACTGTGGTTGCGAGGTCCGCTTTTCCCCCTTCAAAACTCAGGCTATGGTTCTTACTCAACCCTTTCG